TCAAAGTCATTGCAAAACACCGCTTGATTAATTTAACCGATAATATTTGCTGGATATGTTTAATTCGTTATATAATAGTACAAAATTATCTGCTGGGAAGAATAAACAGTGCGAGTTAGCCTTGTGAAACTAGTATAAAGGGCTTCAAAAAATCGTTAATAAAAACAAACACATAAGGTAATTTAGTCCCTGGAGTGGTTCATTATCACTTTTCGAATTTCTAATGAATTAATTACCACTTGTAGGGCAATAAACAACATGAATTGTTAACTAGTTAAGTTGTGTGGTTTTATTATCGCTGTTCGGGTTAGGGTAAAAATAATTAAATACACATTATGCAAGAGCTAAATCTGCCTATTGCAGGTCTTTCTTTAGCCCTAAAGTCTTATATAAACTATTAATTACACATTTATTAACAAAACAAGACCATAATCGACGCTCGGTGGTATCGGATACTCGAGATTTTAACTAGATTAAAACGGTTCGCCATTTAAAAATTTAATTTAAAAATGGGAAAGCTAGGCTGAGTCCCGATTATACCAGTGCCCTGGTTATCACTGTGCACACATCTTGTCAAAACTACAAACAATGATAACTTGGCTGAAAATGAAGTAATTTGAATGAAATTTTCAATATTTTCTTTTTTTATCATTTATTTTTTTAATTATTATAGCAAGAATGACCAAGTCTTTATTAAACCCTTAACTAATGTATCTATAATTTAATGTAGGCCTAAATACGGAAATTATTCTCTACCTCGTAGACTCACCATCGGTGGGTGTTGTGTACTGGACTTTCATTCATTTATTACTAGAAGGGTTGTCTGCCCCCCCCCTCTCTCTTGTCAGTGGTGTCAATGGTAGAATCTCCAAGGTCCCGTGTATACACGACTGCGTGTACGCAAAAGACCCCTGATAATGAATATATAATTGTTTAAGAATTATATGAATAGACACACATATTTGATTTCAATATATTCGTTTCGTGTATCTACTTGGACTGTATTGCCCTATCTGTAGTTTGTGTTGTAATTGTGTCCGCTTTCTTCCTGTTCTCGACATCGATTTCTTAATCAATAACTGACCAGATAATACATAAACACGTAATTAATTAACCTGTTCAATTAAAAGCCTCTTTGTTGGGGTATGATTGTTGTCAAGGTATATAAAGGTAAATTGATTGCCAAGGTATGTAAAGGTAAATTGATTGTCATAGAAATATACACCAGTTTTGTTAACACACGTCACGTGATCCCCTTCTTATCTTATATAGGCGTATAAATCTGAATACTTCCATATACAAAAAGTGTAATTAATAAATTACTTAGTACACGTATTATGTAGGCAGTATTCAGTCACTTTCTGATAGAAATATATTTAATTACTTTTATTGAAATATAACTCGTTAGAACATTAAACGCTGCGGTTACCGAATTCTAACGAAATTAGGTTTAATTTCCCACTTATCCTTATCAAATGCGATACATGAAGTTCGCTTCGATGAAATGTTGGGGAAAACAGTGGTGCCTCAGACCTCAGCATTCACCCCATCGAATTACAAATGTCAGGGAATACGTACGAGCGGACCTCTCATCCAAAGTACAAGAAGCCATTTTGTTTGTCAGGCCCTGCACCACTGTCCAACCTTGTGGGTTTCCTCCCACTGCTAAAGATCCCTACGCGCAAGCGAATTATAGAAATAAAATTGAACCATGTATTAGTCCCGAAATGACCTAGTTTGTGTCGAGTGCACGTTACCCCCCTCCCCTCTCTCTCCCTGCACCACTGACAAAGATGGAAAACAACGCTGGACAATCAAGAGCAACTATCTCGACCAATCAACACCTGGGATAAGACCAGGAACTCCTTGCAAGTGACACAGTGCCATAAACACCGTGACTCCACCGAATTATACGGCCTTAAGGCGTTAATCGAAGCGAACATAAAGTACCACCAAAAAAAACAAGTACATTTTCCATCCTTCAGCTGTCTAATGTTTCACTTTAGAGACCAACACGCAGGAATCATATGGCCATTTATTCCTGATTCTCATACAATAGAGATAAGTGTCGTCACGAGGGAATCAGAAGAAATAGTTGGATTACATGTGGCGAGTCAAACATCAATATTAACGGTGCGAGGCTTTTCTTTCATTGGTCATAAATAACAATTATTGTTTCAGTTAGCTTGTCTATACCAGAATAGTTAAAATCATTACAATGTATTAGTATTATCCAATGGTTGTGTAATACCGGCTACGTGTTAATAACGATACAGTATTTTCTTATAGGTCGTGTGTAACGAGTAGCTGTTACATGCTCTACACTTAGCAAATTACAAATTAAAATGGAGTGGGGTTTAACTTACTTACTACCAGAGTAACGGCCACGGGCATACGTGCACTGTGTGGAACATGTTGTCCGAATTCCAACAGCCAAGCGTCAACGCCCGCACTAAGTGAACACGGACGGGACCTCAATTGTGCGAGTTCCATCAACCCGATCCCACTGATAACGAGTCCTACACTGTTTTCTCCGGGTTCTCCGGTTTCCTCCCACTGCTAAAGACCCCTACGCACAAGCGAGTGATCGAAATTAAATTGAACCATGTGTTGGTCCAGAAATGATCTAGGTTTTGTCGAGTGGACGTTACACCCCCTCTCTCTCCCCCTCTCTCCCTCTCTCTACTAACCCCCCCTCTCTCTATCCGATGTCTAGTATATAGTATGTACAGCCATAATTTATGGATCGTATCTGTGTATTGGGAATACACCATAGATATATGTAATAGACGAGGAATCACACTGTCAAATATGGCGTGACCTCGAAGATGGACACTTAGGACGAAACCAGCACCTTATTCGTTGAGTTCCGCATACGATGCAATAAACATGGTTTAGAACAGTCGAACAACATTTTATATCTTGGTTTCCACTGCATTACATTTAACTATCTTGAGGAAATAAATTACAATGAGGGAATGTCAGTTCGATGAAATAAATATGTCTAACGGAACGTTTCATGTATAACGAATACGAGTTTAAAAGACAAAGGTTACTTGCCGTCTTTGAATGTCATTTGTGGGATTTTTAATCTCTCACAAACTGTTTTTGTAGTGAAAGATGAATCTCGAATAGGAATATCACTCCACAAATATATATATAATAGTCGACACAGGTCAATGCCACATATAATCTTCGCTTGGATATTTTTGGTGGACTTCTGTTCAATCTGTCTGAATCCAAGTCTAGAAATTATCTTCGCTTGGAATGCTGTTAAATAATCATTATATCGTTGATAGAGCCGTGACGTGGATAGATCCGTGACGTGCATGAATCCGTGACGTGGATAAAGCCGTGACGTGCATAAATCCGTGACGTGGATAAATAGGTGACGTGGATAAAACTGTGAAACATTATATATTGTCCGAAAAATGCAACAACTTTAAAGTTTTCGACTCGAATGTATTTACTTCGGCGATGCTATCGTTATTTTTGTGCGTTTGTTTGTGAGTTCTGCGTAATATGACTTGTCCACATATTTGTTTTTGTGTAAATTATGTGTGGTGCAGTACCCCTGCAAAAGGCAGGATGGTGAGTAATGTTTTATATAGCCGGGGATTGCCGATGGTCAACGACTGAATTTGCATCTATCTGATTTTTTATAAGTACAAAAATGCCAGAACACATCACCCCCGATCTTTAAAAAACTTCCATTGACTCCCATTTCAACACAGAACCAAATTCAAAATAGTACTCTTAACATTTAAACATACATTATGCAAGAGCTAAATCTGCCTATTGTAGGGCTTTCTTTAGGCCTGAAATGTTTTATAAACTATTAATTAGACATTAATTAACGTATCCAGACCATAATCAACTCTCGATGTCAACGCTAACCTGCGATAATTGTTGGATTATGATCCGATTTGCTGCATAACTTTCCTTCTCGATTTAACAATAATATGGATAATCGAGACTATGATTTTTGTCGTACCGACTTTAGTAATGATGACCGAAACTATGCGGAACTTTCGATCGCTTATTTCTTGGTTCATGGTGGATCAATTTGACTGAAATTTTCAGCAGATTAGCTTTACATGATCTAGTTTTTTTAAAAAAAACTATTATAATGAGAACTGCCAACTCGTTATCTAATCTCCCATAATGTATCTTTAAGGCAATATATAATCAATCAACAAAATATACCCCAATCTGATCATTTAGCACAAATCAACAAGAATTCTGACATCCACTCATCAATCAATGGTGAATCTAGAAATCACAAGAACAGATGTTTCATATTCTCTGCTAAAGACTTTCCTGTTTGTAGAGGCGTTTCCGTAGTTCTACAGAGAAAAGTTGTAAATCTTAACAGCAACTATTATAATATTATACGGTTATGTAAATAGAGAATTATTATATTATATTAGTAAGATAAACTAACTTGGGTTTTGTTATTCGAATCACCACGAGGTATCGTGCTATTATATATCCATAAATATTCCCAGCCTATCTCAAAGTTTAGGGTGTGTGTGTGTGTGTGTGGGGGGGGGGTTCTGGGCGAGGGTGGGAGGTGTAATGGTGTAAAGGGTATCCTTTAGATGATAAGTCTGTCATTGGGTCAAATGGTTTCGCGCCCACGCATGTCTAACCCCGTGGGTTTTCTCTGGGTCTTCTGGTTTCCTCCCACTTCTAAAGACCTCTACGCGAATTACTGAAATGACCCAGTTTGTGTTGAGTGGACGTTAAACCTCATTTCCCAATATCTTATTTTAACAAAAAGTTGTGGCGGGTGAATTTATATGTTAGTCCCAAAATGACATTAAATTAGACAAACCGCAATCCATTCGACAATAAGTGAGATTTAGAGACGTGAAGCTTCGGTTGCTTGTAACCGATATTTTATTTTTATAGAAATTCCCTGGTTGCCAGCGCGTGCATGAATCACTACCATTAACTCTGTCTTTCTGTGATAGTATCAATAACCAGCGTGAGTTACTCGCGAGAACTTCGAGCGGTTTTCTCCTCTAGCATTATATTGATTAGTTAAACTTTCTAAAGTTGATAAAAGTTTTTGTTTTGTGTTCGGGGCGTTAATTGTTTTCACCGCCTGTTGTTTCTCGTGATAGCAGACGAGACAGTCGCAGACATCCAGGTTCCGACATTCAACGAACAGTGACTAAGGAATAATTCATGATCGGGAATTAATATCCTGCTGTAGAAATATCAAAACGATTTAACGTTGATGGAATAATCCATGAACAGGACATAGTGTGCTTATACATTCTGGGCGGACTATCCATATATATTCTGGATCTAGTGCTGGACGTACTATCCATATATATCCTGTACCAAGTGCTGGACGTACTATCCATATATATTCTGTACCAAGTGCTGGACGTACTATCCATATTTATTCTGTGGACCAAGTGCTGCATGTAGTTTCCCTGTATATTCTGGAGTGAAATGTTAAAATAGTTTTGTTATTGAAGAGAAATTTTGAAATGTGTGATTAAAAGTAAGTCGATTTATTCTTTAGTAGGTAAATATCCATCTTCTTAATGCTGTTCTTCGTTTTATTTCATTCGTCAACAGTGACCTTATTTAAATGCCGTTTAAGCCTTCTATCGTGACATTTAACTCGGACTATTATGACGTATAACCTGGATTATAATGACGTATTACACTTTCTATAATGAGGCATTTTAAAACGGCGTAAAAGCCTTTTTATCATGACTATGACGTATTTATCCCTATCTATACTGATTTTAATACCCTATATAACCCTGGCTATAATGACGTTTAATCTAGAAAGTGACGTTTAACTCAGAGTATGACGTTTAATCCTGTCTAAAATGACGTATAACCCTGGCTGTAATAACTTTCAACACAGTTTTTATTTTGTTAAATGACTATTGATAAGTAAATATGTTTTCCTTTCATTAGTAAGAATAATAATTTTATTCTCTTTCTATTCGCACATATGTTTTACGGGAGATTAAAATCATATATTCTAACAATTCTCATAGACATATAGACATACAGACATTATACTAACAATACTAACATATCTGAGCAATGTTAATTTCAATAACTGATTATCACCTCCAATCTGTATGACCGAAAAGGCAGAGAAAACGAAAATGAAAATTATCACTAAGAAGTTCCTTTATTACGTTTTCATGATGGAACCCAACATTATTATCGCTCTAGATTATTGGGTTATCTCGATAAGTGGAAAGGTGTTTTAAAAACAATAATTAGTCTAAATATGTTTATTTATTAGTGAAAATAATAAACCCTCTTTAAATCCACGCACATGTACGTGCTTATATTAAACCCTCTTTAAATCCACGCACATGTACGTGCTTATATTAAACCCTCGTTAAATGCGTGCACATGTACGTGCTTATATTAAAGTCGTTGATCTTCTTTTTGGGGGATTGTTTATTTAGGAGATAAACACTTCCTGTTTCGCATTTAGAGGGGCGTTATTGTGCAATAGACATGTAAAATGTAAAATCTCAGGATATGTCTATTGCACAATAACGCCCCTCCAAATACGAAACAGGAAGTGTTTATCGACATTGTAACATGCTATTTTAGCATTTTAAAAGAAATTACTAAAACAGAGGGGTGTTGTTGTCCAATCGACAGTGTCTAATTGACCAATCAAAACGCAAGACCCACCCCTAAGCGTGTTACAATAGAAGATGAACACTTCCTGTATCGTATTTAGATGGGGTTTATTGTCCGTTTAACCATGTTTCAATCATTAGAACACGAGACGCGTTAACAAACTGGAATACCCGACATTAAATGGTTCAATTCCTTTCAGTAATAATACAGGTATGATGAATTGAAGATTTCTCAACATTCAACATCTTCTTCAGGTCATATAATAAAACCAGTCAACACGTACCATAAGTGTTGGATAAAATCAGTTTATGGGCCGCCTTTAAAACCGATTGCATCGAAATCTCCCACCTCTTTCGTTCGTTCCTAAAGTTTTACGCCCAATTCAACCTAAGGTGATATCGCAGACTTAACGAACGAACGAACGAGACGGGAGATTTTAGAGAAGGGTTACAAATAGGTAAGCCTTTCCCCAATTCAATTTCAGATAGCTACTGAATAAAAATAATGTTTATAAAAGGAGCCGGGTATATCTACCGTGGATATTTTGTTCTTTATGAAGTGGCATTTATTGGGATTTAATTGTCTTACATAGGCGTACGAGCCAGGGGGGGGGGGGCAGCTGCCCCCTAACTTTCGGGCAAGCTGACTTTTCGGGCAGAAGGGTAAAGTGAAAAAATTTTTTTTATTTCATCTACTTGGCAAAATAAAGTGCCCGAAACCTAATAAAACACTAATTTTACTGGCTGGAATAGCAGTAAAACGCGTTTGCGGCCGTCAAATATTCTAAAATTTTCTTCGGGGGTCCATACAAGGTCAGTTCTGCTTCTTCACCCCTCGAAGAAAACCGGCGCCGCTGTCTGTAAACCTGAAATTTTTTCGGGCATTTCTATTTTTTCTTCCCTAACTGTCATTGAGCCGTAATAAAACACTAATTTTACTTTTCTTTTAATTGAATACACAAATTTGTACTGAGTTGACTATGGATTAAAACAATTTGTCTGGAGCCACTCTACTTTGTCCGACATTTTTCGAGCATCGATTATTATTTGTGAATGCAGCTGCAACGGTCTGATTGGATGGTTGGAATTCAGATTGGGATTTCGGTTACAAAACCATTAGTTACTTTTGGAGTTGCTTACACGGGCTAGAATATCAAAAACGCATTTGAGGAGGTTAGATTTTCAAAATTTTCTCGGGGAGGGTGCGGCCCCGGGGTTGAGGCCCCCCATACCCCGCGACGATTGATTGGTTGTTTGGAATTCGGGTCAGCCAGGTAGGATATATTGGACCAAATTGAAGTTGCTGTATTCACAGACTGGAATAGCAGGAAAACGCGTATGCGGCTGTTAAATTTTAAAAATTTTCAAAATTTTCTCCAAACGGTCCCGTCTCCGTGGACTGTAAACGATTGATCTTTTGTTTGGAATTCGAGTCAGCCATCTTAATTAGGCTATATTAGACCACTTTGAAGTTGCTTTGTTCGCGGGCTGAAATAGCAGGAAACTATGTTTGCAGACATCAAATATTCAAAAATTTTCTTTTTTTGGGGGGGGGGGGGAGCGGGGGTACAATACAAGGGAAGCTCTGCTTCTTCGCCTCTCAAGGAATATCAGGGCCGCTGTCTGTACACCCGAAATTTTTTCGGGCATTTCGGGTTCTGCCCCCCTAACTGTCACCGAGCCCGTACGCCTATGCTTAAACATACATTATGCAAGAGCTAAATCTGCCTATTGTAGGTCTTTCTTTTGGCTTGAAATGTTTTCTAAAATTATTATTTAGACATTAATTAACTTATCCAGGCCATAATAAACTCTCGATGGCATCGGATTTCTCCGATATTAAATAGATTAGAACAGTTCAGCCATATTATGATTTAAGCTAAAATGTAGCTTCGAATAACCAGTACGGTGGTTGAAATTATTGCACACGTCTTGTCAAACCTTTGTAGCTAATTGTAGGCTAATATCGTCTCTCGCAATAGAGTAATTTGAATGAAATGTTCAAATTATTCATTTTGCATTATCTATTTTTGAGCTATTATAGCAAGAATGTCTAGCTCTTTATCTAAATCTTACATAATGTATCTTTAATTAAATGTGAAATAATCAATCATGGTACATTTTAGTTTGGATTAAGGCGTACAAAATTCAGTAGTCTGCGACAGAATAATGACCAGCGGCTTTGCGTATTTTCTATGATGGTATATTTGGTTACCTGGCAACCTATCTGTCTGTAAACTAGATCTTTTATATTTATCTCATGTTTTCAAAGTTCCACTACAAACCTTGTCTGTTGTAACTAAAGACTTTGATGGCTGTAAAAGTGAGGTATATTATATCAGATTGTTTTGGCTTGTGGCGAATTCTACCTTGTAAGAACATCAATAGAGGGCAGGAGGAACTGTAACAGTTTACTAACTTATTATACCGTATTTATCGAATGGATTATTTGAAGTGCGTTCCTGTATTAAGATGGCGATTACATCCTCTAGGCTATTGCAACTCGCTATTATCAAGTCCGATATTGGGGTTACATACTCTGGGTTATCACAACGCGCTATTATCATGTCCGATATTGCACTATTCTAATGACCTCCGGGCTACACACTCTGAATCGAATGGGGTTTAATATCCCGTCTACACAACAGGCCTACTTCAGTCAATTTGAGACACGCATGTAATGATTGTAATGTCTATGGTTACGCGCCTGCAATGCGAGAATTTTGCCCGGGTAGTGGCTTCTCTGGACTCTGACTACTCTTCTTCTGTTCTCAAATTAACATCAAAGATTCTTTGACAACTTTTGTTATTTGAAGAAACCCGTTATTCTGCAAATATTTTAATTACATAAACGTTTAAAATCGACAGTTTCAGTTTTAAAATGAACAAGTGTTTAGACAGCTTACATCTAATTCTTGAGAAAATGAAATGAAATAGGGTTTAACGTCCTACTGTTCTGCTCTAAACTGGGCTAATGAAGACGGGCATACGCCATACAGTGTGCTATGAGGGAAATTTTGCCCGGACAGCGGCACTACGGCCTACTCTTATATCGAACTCCAGCTGTCAAAAGATCGGTTTTTCGTACCATCCGAACGACTAGACAGCTGGACTTGTCAGGACCCTCCGTCCTGCATCACTGACAAGCGGGAGCTACGTCGGAAAATCTTGATGAATTTTCTCGGCCAATGCAGAGATCGAACACCCGACCTCCAGGCTAGGGAGCCAGCTTCTTCCCCACTTAGCCCCCCCCCCCTTAATTCTTGAGTCAACAGTAGGCGGGGATATCACAATAAATATATGCTTATTTGAATTGAGAGCAATTTATATGCATTCTCGGGGAATTAAGAGCAATTTGTATGCATTCTTGAGGATATATTTGGATGATGAATGCGATATATGAATATCGTCATTATTATCATAATACGACGACAATCTTCTCCTTCTTCTTTTCAACATTATTATTGACACTTATGCGGCGATACTTGTTTTGGTTTTGGGTTGTTTTTTTTCATAAATTAATACGTTTTGCATTGAGTGTGAAATTCGTCACCAGGAAGCAAATCCAACCTTTGAGAGAAATTATTTAGAAATGTAGCCAGCCATTGAAATATGGTAGCATAACGTTAAAGAGTTCAGTCATATTTCTACCTGGCAGCAACAAAACAAAATATATAATTTTCTTCACCAACCGAGTCATTGAAAGCGGGAGTACCCTATGCAGTGTGCTTTGATGTCAATTTTGCCCGAACACCTACGGTTCTCCCCTCTTTTCGTCGAAATGTAACAAACTATTTAAGATTCTTTCACGCGACGGCCCCAGTTCATTCAATACTCTTGTTTCTGTAGACTTTCTTTGCACAGGTGACAATGTTGATATTATTTTATAAACAACACGTGTAGGCCATGGTAAGTTAAAAATACACTATGTAAGATTTAGATAAAGTGCTAGCTATTCTTGGTATAATAGTTCGAAAATAGTTAATGTGAAATGAATAATTTGAACATTTCATTCAAATTACTCTATTGTGAGCGAAGATATTAGCCTTTGTAGGTTTGATAAGACGTGTGCAATAATTTCAACCACCGCACTGGTTGTTCGAAGCCAAGTCTCGCTCCTTCATGTTTTAGCTTAAATCAAAATATGGCTGAACTGTTCTAATCTATTTAATATCGGAGAAATCCGATGCCATCGAGAGTTGATTAGGGCCTGGATCAGTTAATTAATGTCTAATTATAATTTCGAAAACATTTCAGGCCTAAAGAAAGACCTGCAATAGACAGATTTAGCTCTTGCATAATGTATGTTTAAATAGTTGTTTCTAGTAATTATCAATGTTGATGACGGTTAACAATTAATACGTATCTGGTAAGATTTTGGGTCACGAACTATATAGGTGGATGTCTAGTAATTCCCCCATTGTCCACAACCGAATAACAATCTATATGTATTGTGTGTGACTGTATGTTCCGTTGCCTGGCAATCTATCTTTGTTTTAGGTATGCCCCGATATCACATGTACACTTGTGGGATCTCACTATCATTTGATTACTTTTCTTAAATGCTAGCTGATGGATTTCCTTTATGGGGCTTGTCTGGGGTGTGCTGGGCGGGATGGGAGGGGGTTGGAGGTGAGCATTAGTTTGAATGTGAATCCCAGGAAAAGCAGTTTGTCTAACACTACCCAGATGTTTGAAGTGTTTGTTTTCTTCCCATTCGTGTGTTTTCTCAAACACAAATTCTGTTTATTTCTTTTGTAAATTAACTCTAGAATTTTATTTCAAGTTACAGGAAAAAGAGAGAAAATGGTGTACTTGGGATAATTCGTTATTAGTCATGAAGTAAATCAAGTCGTGGTTGGGGAGTTGTGCCAGAAGAAAAACAGAACCAACAGAACGTCTTCAATAAAAGGTAGAGTGGCCTCTTCATAACCTTTCAATTGTTCAACGATCGTTTGATTTCTCCAAGCTAAAAAATACTAGAACCTTAGATCAAGGGCTTTACTGAAAGATAAAGTACAGAATTGTGAATTATCCAAATATTTGAGTTAAGGGGAAAGTCGGTTAAGTGATCTAGAAACGATAATACTATATACCGGAAACACCGAAAAACACCGGAAAACTACCGGAAAACACCATGTTATACTGAATACCGGAAAACACCATGTTATACTGTGTTTTCCTGTATTCAGTATAACGTGGTGCTTTCTGGTAGTTTTCCGGGTGTTTTTCGGTGTTTTCGGGTATATAGTATTACCCTCTAGAAACTCGAGGAAGGAAATTGTGGTTTATTTTGTAGTAACGTATATCGGAAATATTTCGTAATAGCATGCAATAAAGTGTAATCTTTGTCCGGGATTATTCCATGCTGAACTGTTAGTCTCGATCAAGAAGTCATCAACATCCCACGCCTTTGTTTACCAAATACTTAGTCAAAGTTATTTCTATGGAAACACAAAATAATTAAATCTGAGAATCTTAGCAAAAGGTACACCGTCGTTATATTATAAAAATACACACCTTTATGTTAGCGAAATACACACTTTTATATTAACAAAGGGTACACCTTTATATTAGCAAAGGGTACACATGTATATTAGCCAAGGGTACACATGTATATTAGCAAAGGGTACACATGTATATTAGCGAAATGCACATCTTTATGTTAGCGAAATGCACATCTGTATATTAGCAAAGGGTACACCTTTATATTAGCAAAGGGTACACATGTATATTAGCAAAGGGTACACATGTATATTAGCGAAATGCACATCTGTATATTAGCAAAGGGTACACCTTTATATTAGCGAAAGGCACACCTGTATATTATATATTGTCTACGAAGTTTCACAAAGATATCGTGAACGAACGCCGCTCATTTTATTAGCCCTGCCTTTACTTAATTCGGCGCCGCTGTATCATAAGGCCTGTCATTGAGTCAACTGGCGTGGTTTCGAATCCCCGGTTGTGCGTGACAAGGAGTAGGGTTGCCTGTCCAACCTCGTGGGTTGTCTTCGGGTCCTCCGGTTTCCTCCCACTGCTAAAGACCCCTACGCGCAAGCGAATTATTGAAATAAAATTAAAAACCATATGTTAGTCCCGAAATGTCCCAGCCTGTGTCGAGTGGACGTTAAACCCCATCTCGAGGACTTTATCATGCTTATAAACCGTCTATGTTTACATGTACGCAAGATGAGAATATCCCAGAATTCTGTAAGAAAAACCTTATATCATGTTTTCTTATGGGAAAAAACCTACCCTGGAAGACTAACCCGTTACAGGTTTAAAGAAATACTTCCAGAAGAATAACCCCCAAATTTCCCTGTATATACCCAAAGCCGACTTTCAGACCGCAAGTTATTCCGGGTATAGAATATACCCCAAAGATCAAAGAGATTTACCGTTACAGGTTTATAAGCATGGGTAATACCTACAAAAAACAAATAACACAAATACGAGAAGAAAACAATTCGCTACATGTTCCCAAACAACAACTCTAGAAATATTAAACGAAATTATTTGTACTTCGTGGGTGGTGTTGCCAACAGTATGTCGGTGTTAATCAACGAAGTTCAAAGATACCACCGCTGGAATTGGTTAATTTTCTTCAACATAAACTAAAATAGAAAATCTTAAAACCAACTTATTATACTACTTTGGTAAATGACCTCGCATTAGAACTAAAACCATCAACTTTATCTACGGTCTGTGTTTTAACCGACACTTACAGAATGGTAATAAAAAAAACCCTCCTCGCTATTCAGTGAAACGATGTAAGCCATTATCGAATAAACGTAATGAGGCAAGGTAAGAATCGTGGTAATACCGAGTTTGCCAAAACACAGAGAGGGTTTATTTAAATATGCACCGACGTCGTACCTGAATCTGTAATTTCCATTCAAAAACAAAATTCGGTAGAAATTACAGCGATACCTGTTAAGGAGTTCACCCGTGAAGATAATTACCGCCATTTAACCTAAACAGTATTTAGTAATTTAGTACGGCAGAACGGTAGAAAGCGGGAAGGTGATAACGAGATTAACACACGCATGTACCACGATGCAATGAAAGCGCATCATTGATTTCACTGGAAGTGTTGGTATGGCTGTAAACTGGACATTTATTGTCACAAGTTAATCAACAGTCCACGGAGGATGTAACAAACATAGATATTATAAATTCCCTTAGTTAAAAAATTGTCTTAGTTAAAAATGAAAAGGGGTTTGTTAACCGAATATTTTAAGTTGTTGTGCTGGGTATCACACATCCGTTATGCATCCGTCAGACCGGGTTGGCGTTCTTACTGTGCTGCTACGGCGACGGAAAATGGCCTCGGAGAGCGTCACGATGCCCATAAGCGTGGTAAAAGCATGGTGGGAACGCCTGAAATCGTGCTGTGGTCTCCATCGTCGCAGAGTCACGGCGTTTGTTTTGAGCATGTTCAAAACAAACGCCAACTTTACTGCGATCTGTCCTGGAAAGCTGCGAGAAAGCGACTTTTTTCAAGTTTGTAATTTTTCGGGACATTTTCTCGCGTTGTGTTCAATTTTGCCGGCAACCTTGTGCATTTTCTGGTCACCGTAGGCCGCAGCAGCGCAGTAAGGACGCCAACCCCGTCTGACCGGGGCATTTAAACGAAACTAGTTGCTTAAGTCGGTCGTGAAGTTTAATAAACTCCATTGTCAATCAGTAAAGTATTCTATTAAACTATTTCTATCAATATACTACTAACAATAGCTAAACCAGTCAGCAGGGTGTTCATTTTAAAATACAGACATGTGGAGGTTTTTTTTATCCTTTTATCAGATATTGTTCATGATATAAATAAAAAATACGTCCAGGTAAAAAATTCTCCACTTTACTTCATTCTCACATACATTAAATCATTTGAGCTAGCTGTCTGCCTTCTATGGGCGTTTTCAGATATTAATAATGTATACAATAGGTCGTCTATAATAGATCGTAAGGTGGTATAATTGTAAGTTTTTATTTCATCAAAAATAACATCTATAACACGATTTGTTATTTAGTATTTAATCTGCTGAGGTATTTAGAGATTTCAGATAGAGTTCAGATACCAAGTCAAGTAGATAATTTTCATTACCAGTAGCCATGGGTAGCCAGCCGCCATATTGACTACTTATAATATATCACAGTTATCACTGACATGCGTCACTACAGGAATCCAGTTCAATCTTATTCTCATCACAATTTACTTATTTTTAAATCTCTACCAAGGTGATATCGACTTAATCACCCACAGCCGAATTTAATCTGTCCACAATCACCTACTATCGTGAAACACTGCCTGTGGATTGTGAACGGTATGAAACATACCTGCCTGTGGATTGTGAACCATATGAAACATGTTTGCCGTTCTGGGGCCTGTTTCACGAAATTTTAACTAAGATAAAAATCCAAATTTTAGTAATTTGATTGGATAATATTAGATTGATTTTAGTCCTTAGCCAATCAAAATTTAAGTATCTACTAAAATTTGGATTTTATCTTTAGTTAAGATTTCGAGAAACCGGACCCAGACTTTTACGTTAAACTGGTTTGAAAACAGCGACCATCGTAAACGAAATGAAATGGGTTAAGCGTCCAACGTTTCTGCACCATCTGAGCTAACGAAGTCAGACAAACAAACTAGGTTAAAAACACAACTCGCTGCCTGATTCGCGAAGGCTTTTTGTAAAATCTGACTTATCTTGACCGTTAGAACAATTCGGCGTAAAAGTCCAGCTAGCTTTGGCACGCGCAGCAATTTGTCTTCACGGTAAAATGCGTAATTAACTTTAACCTTTAACCGACGAGGTCAATATAGTTAAACTCACTTAGCCTTATAGTATTTATATACAACCATGGCCTTAAAGTAGCTAAGTCCGTAACCCAATATCATCCAAAATCTTCGACATTGAAAACACGATTTTTTTTTGCAATTTAAATCAGCATTGGTGTGGTGATCTTACCTGGAAAAGATGGGCTTCTGATATCCAATATTTCAGACAAAATAAACATTTACCATTGGTACACGAATCGTGTACCATAATGCGTTTCAGTGCAATTTGTAACAAGGTGCTCAAAGAATGAGGCTAGACATATATTCCACATGTCATATCAAACGGTAATGTCATATTCTTATTTGTAGAGCATGCACAATAAATACTGTCGATGTTGACTGGAATAACCAGACGCTAGAAACTGACTTTAGGCTGAGACTTCTGGCGGATATTTCCGAACATAACTGATGACAATTCACAGTAAAACAGAAACGATTGAATGTAAAACAGTTTATATAAATTCCTAATCAATTATTATATGTGTTGCGACCCATTTGTGCCAATTTCTAGCTCCAAAATATTACCGATTTAGCTCCTTTAAAGCTGAACTCCGATTACAAAACTACAGAGATAGTTAAATAAAAAGAAAGTTAACGCCCAAAACAACCGCCATACTTGATACGGCGTTTACTGAAAGTGGGTGTGGCCTGTCTATGTATTTGTTTGCCCAAAGCGATCGCATTGTTCTACAAATTCAAAACAAGTATGGCGGTCGTTTAGGGCGTTACCTTTTGTTTTTAATTATTTCTGTAGTTTTGTAATCGGAGTTCAGCTTTAAACCGTTTTAAAATATAGTTTACATGCAAATGTCTGAACGGACTAATCAAGGCCCGCAACAGGGGCCTTCGGGGCCCGGGGCAAACAATTCGATGAGAGGGGGGGGGTGCATACATAATATATTATGTTTGAACATCATGCAACGATTGGGCGTGAATTGGGTTTTATGGAGTAATGTGGAGTTCTCTGTGTTTTCTGGATAATTTCCAGTCGTTAAAAGAAAAGTTTTGTAAATACTCCAACCTACAAAGGCTTCCAGATGTTCAGCTTCTGTATTCATGCAAAAGTACAA